GCCATCTAGCATCTCTTGTCGTGTTTTTTTGTCCTTTGCTAGCATAGCAAAGCCGGTCCTCACTCGATGAAGCGAGGTTATTTTATCGTGAAAGAAAGGGAATCTCATCTCCAATTTACTTCTCACGCAACTTGTGGACAGTTTTCGCCACAAGTGGTCCTTTTCAAGGCGAAGGAACAGTCGCTTCTCGACTTTCGCCTTGGGGGTTTCTTTTTGGTGGGCTTTAGCCGCAGGTCGCGGCATAGCCTTGGCAGTAGGGACTGCTTTTTGTCGCAGTCCGTTTCTAGCCACCGTGGCTCAGGTGCTTTTGACGGGCAGAGCTAGGACGGTGGGTATTGTTTGGCTCCTGGCGTCGGGAGCCCTTGGGAGAGGGTTTTCCGGGCGAGGAGGGAGGACGGGTGACGTAGTGGCCGGGCCCGTAGCCATGTATTGCGCGATGGCGGAGCATAGGTAGACTCTCATGGAGTCTACAAATTGTCTGTTTGACCCGTTGGTCAAAGGGAGGAGAGTGGCTTCGACGCCAGAGATGGCGGCGGAGCAGAGGGCCAGATTTGCCGCTATTTCGGCGGCGCGTCGTTGTTCAGCTTCGACAATTGGTCGGAGCTCAGGAGGGCATTCTGCTTTCGTGGCAGCTTTTGGCTGCGACGTTGATGTTGACGCTGCTATGGGTGCAGCGTTTTCCGACGGTTTTGAGGTGGTCGGAGGTGGTTTAGATGATTCTCCAATCCTGTGGGGGACGGAGGGTCGCAGAGAAATTTCCTCAACAATTTCGACCGACCCGATCATATCAGTATCGGGTTCAGTGACGGCGGGGAGGGCTTTTTCCTTCCCTTTGATTGAGACCTTGCTCATCTCCGCGCATTTCGGATACTGGGCAAGGCCAGGTAATTGCTCGAGAGCCCTCGGGTGAACTCTCGTGTTGTCCAACTCGGCGTTGGGACGCTTTTTTCGAACAGGAGGCATGATGAAAATGCCAGTGACTCGATCACAATTATTTGATAGGATGCGATGAGCGCGAGAGGGAGGGAGACGGGAAAAATTTGAAGATTCGAAAATTCGAATTTCAAAAAAATTGTCTTTGATATTGTGTCATAGCTAGATAGCTGCATACGCAATTAAAATCTGATGCACAAAACAAAAAGCTGAAAACGTTCCTTTCAACCATAATTTTTTAGACTTTCTCCAGATTTCGTCAACTCCCCCTTCGATCAGCCTATCTTTGTGAGAAATTGAAAAGAGAAGGCTCCTCCTCACTCGACGTTGGTCGTCGAAATGTGCAAAGAGTCGGCCCCGATAGTGGTACGGCTGTCGCGGGGATGATTGGTGCCGTTGGGGCTTTGACTACCTTACGCGGTCATCCCAGCCCTCTTTTGAGTCCTTTTTTTTTTTTTTTTTGCATCAGATTTTAATTGCGTATGCAGCTATCTAGCTATGACACAATATCAAAGAAAAGTACAGAATAGATGATTGAACGTAAAGGAAGAGCACTCATGCCTCAGATTTCATTTGCAAGTACCACTGCCAAGTTATGGTGGCTTTTTCTTCACCCCAAGTCAACCCTCATCCGTGAATACCCACCCAGGGGAACGTCTCAAAGACCCTGAGTTATCCAGACATGCCTCCGTCATCCATCGACTTTTCTCCGCGCGAAATGTGATCTGAGATGTCTCCTTCCCAGGTGGAATAGGTGCCCAGGCTACTCAAACCATACCAGAGAACACCACCAGGAGGCGGACCACGGCACCTTCCATCGTCGGCTTGTTTTTATAGTGTCAGCTGCACTCTCGCAAGCGAAGTCTTGGCGCGCACAAAGCTCAATTCGTAAAACTGCTTGCCAAAATTCGGAATTTCACTCCCTTCAAGGTTATATCCTTCCTATGCATCATCTTGTGAACTTGTCTTAATCCCTCTCACGTCCATCCCAAAGAACTGTCTCCCAGATTTGTGCGGCACGCTTTGCTTCCTCCGTCGGGTATAACTATCGGCGTGGGCGTGTATTTGGTGGTCAACTGAGACCAGAGAAGGTCGAAGAGAGGTGTGGTCATTGGGATGAGGATGTACTAGGTCGTACTTGTAGACTTGATAAGGCGTAGGTAGGAGTCAAACTCGTTGGGAGCGAAAAAACGACGTGTTGGAGTAATTTTAAATTTTGCCTCGTGGGCCAACTTCTTTGATATTGCGAAATTTGACTGAACTTGGCTCAGGGAGAGTATTTCACTCCCAGGTTCGTAGAGGATACCGCGTGCAGGTGTTCAGTCTTGTCCTCCTATCTATTGAGTCCTTCAGGCTTCTTACTGGTGACTAACATAAGTCTCTGATCATCACTCATTCCCGCTGTTAGCTTTTCGCCATTGTGGGGTTTCATTCTAGATTTCCGCAGCTCTCGATAGAAGCTCCATCCGAGTCTTCTCTATGCTTTCATTATAGACCTGGTAGGCTCGGCACACTGCTTTCTGCCACTAAAGGTGTGTCATGAATGCGCTTTTCACATTAGAAGTAAATCTTCTTCCACGTAGTGTAGCATGCAGAGCTAGAGGAATGGAAACAGGTTAGCTATAAATTAGATACCACCGATCGCTACACTCACCCGTAGATCACTCCTAAAAGAGACTAGCTACGGCGCTATCTGGATGTATGTGGGATTGGGTAATTATCATGTAGATAACCCGTAATATAAGATAACATAATAACACAATAAGATACCATTCGCATCCCGCAACATTTATTGCCATACTCACCCAAGTATATTCTAAGCCCCCTGAATAGTCACAACCATTCAATTGAAGATACCAAGTGTATACGACTATGTACATCTCCACCCTTCAATAAGGTGTTCCCTGCCTTCATTCGCTCAAAAATCCCTTTTCCCTGGCCAGTCCCGAGTTTGTTGAGTTAAGTGAGTGCGCTGGCGCTCATAAAATCGGGCTGTCTATTCACATGACGCCCGAGTGTGTTTCTATTGGCTACAGTTGAATTACTGCTTTGGCTGGGCTTGTGGTGACCACACCTGCGCGGTTAAAAGTGTGGCGTTGATGACAGGTGTTCGACATTCGTCCCCCGTAGCGAGCCCTACTAATACGGATGAAATATCTCTACCACGAGGAAGATAATGTGGTCTTACTAGCTTAGTTTACACAAGTAGGTGAAATGCGAACTTTAGACATAAACTTAGGAAAGAGTATACGATGCCTGCTATCCAGAATTGTACCCTTACTTTGTGCCAAGGCTTAACTCCAATGTTTCCCTGACTCAAATTACAGATATTATCACATCTTGAGAGGGATACACAGGACACGGGTTAACTTTGAAATGGTGAAAAGAGAGCACTAATAATACGGATGATATGTATGTAATATGTAAGGGGAGCATCTGGTTAAAATCGCTGAACCAACATGAGCAGGCTTGAATGCCAGCCCTAGATACAGGAGGGTTTTAGTCGGATATATATGTACATAGTTAGTGTGCCTGCAACAGCTCGGAAATCTAGAGCTCCTAGAGATATCAAGATGCTATTGATTGGAAATTTGGTTATACTTGCTAGTTTGTTAACCAGCGGGAGCTCTCTATTGCAAAGTAATTAAAAAAAGCTTATTCCTGTCTTACAACTCGCTATTCTAGCGGGAGAGCTTCAACTAATCGCTTGATATTAACAGTTAATCATCATATTCCTGTCAATAATGTGTGTTATATTCTGTGACACAATTTCTTTTCTTCCCATATTAGCCTGCAGTATAGAGTTCCTTGCCACTAGAACTACATTTGTTCTAAGGATTTATTCTTATTTGATCTGATTTAGGATAATACAGCCTCTTCTATTTCCTCGAAGAAAAATAGCTTGGATCCAGAATAAATCTTAATTTTCGAGTAATTTGTGGCTGGAAATACCCACTAATCATCGACGTGGGCCTAAAGGCGAACTTATGACAAACTACTGTTATAACCCTGCGGAACCTGAAAAGATGAATTATTTCTAGGTGTCATGACCAAGAACTGTTTAGTCTCGAGGGAAAGTTGCTCAAAAGATGGATTATTCAAATTAAGTTTATAGAGACTTATCGAAAAGATCTTGTTACACATCTTCAGCCAGAAACTAGTTGGTTCATAGCTTTATAAAATTATTAGCTACCTATTTTTAAGAGAGCACATGCGCATATGTGCATATGGGTTGGAATCGAGCCAACGACAGGTCGGCTGCCAAATCAGTAAAATTTATAAAATCACTGACATCTTTAGACCCTTAATTTTAGGCTAGTTGTTAATGTAAGTTTCGTCAGAAAACTTAAGGTTCAACTCTGTGAGAAGCAATACCAAGATATCATAGCTTTTGAGCGGCCCTGGTAGCTTGAAATCCTCATCGAAGCCTAAATTATGTATAAATAACCCAGTATTCATGTTCGCACATTAAGACGATGCCGATATTAAACAAGAAATCTCTGTATTTTTCTCACTTTCATTTACCTCCAAAAATAGTACCATACAAAACTTCACATAGGTAATTAGAAGATCATTTATTCTAGACCCAGGTACCAGCTAAAATACAGTCATATGATATGAAATTTTATGACTGAATGTTTGGACTGTCTGACTTACACTTTGGATCCGTCTAATTTTACTAATCAGTCATTGCTAACAAGGAAGTTATAATTCAGATTTTGATTATACCAATGATAATCAGCTGTAAAACTTGGAATTGATCAAAACTTGAGAACTTAATTCCATCGAAGAGCTTTAAAATGTCCGGGAATAGCATATAGCCGTAGTAATTAAAGAACTCTATTTGACTCTGGAAGAAACCAACGAGGCGCAAACTTTTCAAGAGCTCAGTCTTTGGACTACACAATCGAATATTAATTACTGAACACCACGCTTATCACTTTTTGTACATAAACTGAATTATCTGTGCTTATACGGCATGAATGAACATTAATCGAGTGGCAAAAACTAACGGATACTCCGGAGAAGAAATCTACTACTTATGAGTGATCCATTTGTGTGTCGATTTAAAAACTTGTTCCTTTTGCAACGATATCGTCAAGGTAACTCAACAAGAAACCTTTATCGGCAGAAGAAATTTTCGGAGTCTTCTTCTGTAAAATTTTAGGCTTTAATTCTAGGCTTTTTTCTTGGTACTGGTAAGTGACATCATAATCTGGTATCGGAGATGGAGGGAAATTATCAGCTGAGCTTTGGCGAAAGCCCGGAGCCTGTTTCCCGAATAAAGAAAGGAGGTCTTGTTTATGATCTGTTGATTGAGATTGCTTATGTCCATATTCACCCAGTTCCTTGGAAGATGAATTTGACGTTGAGGACTCAAATTCTATCCCAGAAGCATCTGGTTCGGTCTGATGACGCTTCAAAATTCTTGGCCGAAATAGAGCAGTACTTTTATCTGGTGGTTTAACTTGTTTTCCTCTGAACTTCTCTGTTTGGGCTAGTTTGAAGGAGGTCTTCGAAGGAGCAATTTGTAGCGGAAGCATTGATTTTTCGGCGAATTCTGACGGCCTAAGTTGTATATTGACTGCTTGACTGGTTGGCGAGATCTCAGTAGTCGTTTCATTTAAAGATATTTTCTTCCGGTCTCGATTTGAGTTTTGGGTAACGGATTTTTTCTCAGCTTTACTTGATAAAGGCTCTACCGCAGAAAGTTCGACAGCAGATAATGTTGGAGGAGTAGGTAGAGTTTTAATATCGTTTTGGATAGATGATTGGAAATTATAAGTGTCAGAGCCTTTAAATAGACCTAATAAGGCTGATTTCTGATTTTCAGTTGGAGGATATCGGGGCGAGTAAATATCTGGACTGGGTATCTGATTTCCGTTCATTTTCGATGATATACTCGTCAGATTGAGAGCTTGCGGTATTAGACATGAGCTTGCAGAAAGCTCATGAGATAAGCGAGGAACATGAGTTTGTGGATATATTTGTTGGTCGGATTGTCTATGAATATCATGTTTTCTATTAAACTGGTGCTGTTTGTGACTAAGTGGATTCTGCATCAACGTGCAAGATTCTTCCGTATTTTGGAAGTGCTTCCCGTGACTTGGTTGATTCTTATCTTCAAAAGTTGGTAGTGGAGTTAAAAGTTCATTTTGATAGCTATTCCAGCTTAAAGTGTTTTCGTACTGAGATATCGACTGATTATTCCATGTCTTTCGGTAATTATTGCTGTCTTTGGTCGCGACACCTGGCCATGCAGCTTGGGTTACAGATGCTGATGCTTGTGGTTGGGTTTCCAAATGTCGCCGAGCTGTATCAGTATTTAATTGTTGAGAATAGTTCAAGTCATCGTGATTAGTATGAAGAGGTGAGTCGAGCCAAGAGGTACTGGGAATTGCGACGCATTTTTCTTGATCTTGAATCGTCGAAGCTATTGATGGAAAATACTGGTTGTGTTGGGCTAGCGCTGAGCCAACATTTGGAGCGGCTTTTGGTATTAAAGGCGACTGAAGAGGGCTCTGTGCAAATAAAGCTCTTTGAACGTGAGGTGGAAGAGGTTGAGGATGGATCAGATGTTGGGATTGATAAGGATGTGAGCCAGAAAAATTGTTCTGTTTTTGATAGGCTTGAATGTGCTTTTGAGCCTCAATCATTCGCTCATACTGCGACTTGATATGGGATTGGAGGTGGTTAATTTGGTATTCGGCTTCATTTTTGTTAGTTGTAAAATCAGCTACGAGTGGTCTACTTGATTCAAAATTTTTAGGAGAGGGAACTATGGGCGGGATAAGATCTTGATTAAGTCTCGTCTCTGATAAGAGATGGACAGATTGTGGATCAATATTTGGTTTGTTGTGGAGTAATGCTAGTAAAGCGGGTCCAATACTGTCTGATGGTTGCTTTTGAAATTGTTCACTATCCTGTTGTGTAGACTGAAATGAATGGAAGTGATGGCTCTCCCTATCTCTGATGTCTTGAGAATAAATGGTATTCATCTGGTTTTCTGAAATTCCATTTTTTGAATAATTAGCATCGGGATTTGACTCGGTCCCTTGCTCTTCTTCGGTCAAAGTTTCATCATGGACTGTAACTCCATTTAACGATCGGGAAGAATTAAAAGTTCGACGACGAGAGCTTTGTTTTTTCTGATCAATTATCCATTTTCGCAGATGAGTAAGGAAGGGTGCAACCATGTAGAAGTTTGTTGATTTAATCTCTGGTTGTTGGTGGGTAGATGCCTTGCCCTTCCGAAACGCGGGTAGATCTGATAATTGCCACCAGTCGATGGCACTTATTTCTTTCCTTGTCCGAGGCTCAAAATGAGTATCCAGTGGGATATCTCTAAATACAAACAAGCGTATTTGTTGTTCGTGCATGTTAAGATCAATAGACTTCACTTGTCTATTCTCAGGTATCAACCCAGCTTCTTCAATATCAAAACCAGTCTCCTCGTAAACTTCCCTTACGGCACAGTCAAGATCATCTTCATCTTTGTTGATTTTTCCTCGAGGAAAACTCCAGTTTGCGTTTTTTTTCCAGCCTTTTACAAGGACTACTCTATCCATGTCATGGTTTAGCATTATTGCACCTCTGACAGGAATGCGTTTTTTATAGCTGAGAAATGCGTCGAAAGCTTTCATACGATGATCCTGAGAAAAAGGTAACAGTAGAGGACAGTGCGCAAATATTTCTTCGCAGAATCCTTTTAATGTCATTGAAGGTAGGGTTGGATCTAGTGGTCTAATAAAGTCTTCATAGTACCACTGTGCTTCTTCGACCCGAAAACATATTCGCTCTGCAGTTTCAAGGTCTTCCTTTGGGCCGTTCATAAGAAAACGTACGCACAAGTCGTCGAGCCCTAGATTTATTTAAGAGTTAGCCACACAAGTCTAGTTTTTAACAAAAATTGATTCTCAATCTTCATTTAGAACTCTCCACCTCAGGAGCACTTACAGTATTTAAGCGTCATATTTCCTTCAGTCATCTTTTCTTCTTATTGTGTTTTTCATTACTTGGGGGTTGGTTAGTGCTAGCTACAAGTGAGTTCAGTTGCAGTTCGATTTGGGAAGTGATTGAGTTCAAGTAAGTAAAAATAAAGGTATTTAACAGGCTTAGTAAAGAAAATGACGATAAGGAAGGTCTGGTAAAAATTGCTGTCGCATCCTACGTCTACGTTGGGAGAGAACTAAGGAGTTGGGCATCCGAGCCACATGTGTGATCTATTATCACGGACCGTAATATGGCTAGTGCGGCGTCTATTTTAAAACATAAAGATAGATACCAATGCTATGGATACCTTATCATATTAGAGAAGAAACCGCACTAGACAAGTCGAAATACCAATTGTATGCACCAAGCTTACTTCCAATATATCAAATTATACCTAAAACAGTGTATGACCGACACTTGTATCATTGGAGCAACTGCTTACGATAGCATGGTCATGTGGATGCGGAAGCAATGATGATGCCGCTTGAGTCCTCCATTGTGCTGAAGTTGCCTAGTTAGTAACCAGAATAATCATATTTGAGAACCCATCGTAGTGCATCTCCTTGATTTCATGTGAAGTAGTCCCGTGTATTAGAAATTTGTGATTCTTATCAACCCCTTTCAAGTTTTCTGAAGCGCCCTCCTAAAACGCCAACAGCATATTGCCCACCTGTTTTGCAGGTAGCGCGGCTACTGAGCGTATTGAATACCATTTGGGACTTCCACACATACGTACTTGCACAACGAATCTATTGAGTTAACTTTTAAATTTAAAAAATTCCTGCCTCAAGTCAAATTAAAGTTGAATCCAACATTCCCATCCCCCGAAGTTAAATTCATTGTACTGCTACCATGGGAGGTTTTCTCGCAAAAATGATAAGCAAGAAAATTCTTGGTGAAAGCCTAGAAAATAAATTTGGACATGAAGTAAGTAATTTTGGTTAGTTTATATATATATATATATTCTTATCTATTTACTTAGGATCCCTACTTTGAGACTATACCAGCGTCTAAACTTGGAGATACATCATTGAGGAAAAAAGGTAAAAAGAGACGCAAAGCTCTACCTCCTGGTATATCAGATCATGATAGGAAAGTTCTCACCAAAGTGAAAAGACGGGCGTATCGTCTGGATATGTGCCTTTTCAGTTGTTGTGGGATAAGCTTTGGATGGTCAAGCGTGATTGGCTTCATGCCAGGGTGAGTGTCTCTATTTGTGTTTGACGAAGGATTGTGATAATTTTAACTCATCGAAGCATTGGCGACGCAATAGACGCATTTATGGCTCTAATGGTATTTCGAACATGCCAACAAGTAGAGGGAGGCCTTCCCCAATCCATCAGTCTGAAAATGATGGCCAACATCATAATCGACTTTTGTATTGGGCTTGTTCCTGTTATGGGGGACATATGCGACGCCATGTTTCGTGCCAATACTCGTAACGCTGTAGTACTCGAAAATTTTCTACGCGATAAGGGTGCCAAGAATCTTATGGGTCATAGCGACAATCCCCCTCCAGACCCATCGGATCCGGAGGAGTTTGATCGTCGTGAGCGAGAAGAGTTATCAGCATCGAGTCTCACAGCAGCGACGCGAGCGAAGGCAACCACACGAAGGAATTAAGCTTTTCATTTTCACAGCGAGATGTAGGGCCTTTTTATACCAAGTATAATGTTTGAATATATTGTGGCATGTTGAACGTAAAGGCAACCGCCGCCTTGGGCTCATTTCAGACTCCCGGTACTCGCTTTACACTAAGTCGGAAATACCACATAAGAGTTAATCTCTATCTACAACTCTCTTTTGTCACAGAGGAATGATTGGGACCGCTGCGAGCAGATAAAGATCCAAGATTTTAGTAAATGGGAAAAAGAATGTTATTAGATGTGAATGTACACTAATTCGTAACCCAGTACCCGGTGTAGGAATTCGAATAAATTTTGATACTCAGAATCAATTAGAAATACACAAATTTTAAAATATTGAGTGTCTATCACATATAACATTGCTATGACGTGCACCAGCATCAAATCTATTTAACACTTGAAAGATTTTTGATATTGTCTGGAGTGGTTAACTTTATACACTAAAATTTTCTTCTCTAATTTACGAAACTTGATACCTTCTACCCAAGGTGCAGATGCAAACCTATCATCCAGACATTATTAAATAATAGGGTAACGAATACCCGTAATATAATGGGGTATTCTCCTCCAACCTCAAGTTCTCACTGTAGAGTCTACAGAGTCGGTTTTCGTAAAACGTTCGTCCTCATCTCGAAGATGATTCCTAATCACTCTCGCGATCCCTATAGTCTTTATCTCTCAACACATACCCCTAGTACCATAATCACGAAGTTGGCCACGATCAGATCAGATGGTAGGGTCGGAGCCCTACTCATCACTAACCCTTGATCATGGGGGAAAAGCCATCCGATGAGTTTCCGGAGCGTATCCAGCACCCGATACGGAGATGGTGGATTGGATCAAGTCGGCCTCTAATATTACAAAGAAAGGAGATATAGATGAATATGCGCACCTCATTTAGTCCCGGTGTCTAGGTCTCGCCTGGCTGGGGCTACAGGTCATTTGAGATTTTTTAGATTGAAGGTTCGGTGGAAATGGTGGCTGAATTCCGCAGGTAAACACTGAGCTAAATGGCTATCGGCCACAAGCAACATATCTATGATCTTCCAAGTAACATGACAGGCTATGAGGATTGTACAAGGTGTTGACTGGGCCGGAGAGGATCCATGTGCTAGATAGTCATAGACTCATGTTGTATAATAAACTATAACACACACAGAGCCCTAATACCCTAATCTCTCCGTCCAAATTAACGTCTATCCAGTCATTCCTTCAACTTAGTCTGTCCAGTGATGTATTGAAAATCTTGCATAATTTTCGGGACTCACTTCATTTTATGACGTCTTTATCCGCCGCCTCTAGCTTTTTATTACTATGGTCATGTCGTAACAAGGAGAGGACTATAGTTCTTTGCATGACGTAGGAGTGATGTCAGCAAAGGTAACAACATGATGCGACAGCTGCGCAGAGATTTCTCTTACGAAAATGTCATGACTATCATATATCGAATAGTATCGAATAAGCCTCGTTACAATGATTTTACAAGCAGAATTATGCTTATATGAGCTGATGTTTGGTCCAGAGGCAAAGCACTACGTACGAGCACAGATATGGGATTACTGATGACATTTGGGTGCATGCTTAGGGTGAAGGTGACATAGTATGGTAATATAATGGACTCATAGCCAAAGTCATCGATTATTCATTCTTGGAGATTCACATGATGCACATATTGAAGGGCGGTGATATATATGGTTGTATACACTTGGTATCTTCAATTAAATGGTTATGACTACTCAGGGGGCTTAGAGTATACCTGGGTGAGTATGGCAATAAATGTTGCGGGATGCGAATGGTATCTTATCGTGTTATTATGTTATCTTATATTACGGGTTATCTACATGATAATTAACCAATCCCACATACATCCAGATAGCGCCGTAGCTAGTCTCTTTTAGGAGTGATCTACGGGTGAGTGTAGCGATCGGTGGTATCTAATTTATAACTAACCTGTTTCCATTCCCCTAGCTCTGCATGCTACACTACGTGGAAGAAGATTTACTTCTAATGTGAAAAGCGCATTCATGACAGCACACACGAAGCCCGCTCGAATCTTTCAGAAAGGGGGACTATTCTCAACACCTCTCAGTGGTGTCTCCTACTGTCGAATAGTAGGACACAAGTTTTATTTGGATGTGCATTAAACAAGGATGCTGGAGTTTGGGTGGCAATAATGATTATGAAGATGTAATGACAAATGGGTAATAATTAGTAATAGCTGTGTAAGCATATATCATGTGACGAGTGTTCAAGGTCATTAAGGCCCTGGCGCTCCGTCACAAAATGAGGATAGATATGAATGAATGAAACAATTGTTATGAGTTACCTCAAACAAAGAATCCATAGGAAATATTCCGACACCTACGAACCTCCAGCTCTCACTGTAGAGTCTGCAGAGCCGAGATTGAGTAACAAAGTCCTCACTCCGACGAGGATTCCCAATCGCTTTCGCGGTCTGTATCGTCTTCATCTCTCAACACATTCCCTTATCATAATTATCATGGAGCTAACCACGATCAGATTAGATGGTAAGGTCGGAGCCCTACTCATCACCCATCCTTGATCATTGGGGAAAAGCCATTCGATGAGTTTCCGGAGCGTACCCAGCACCCGATATGGAGATATTGGATTGGATCAAGTCGGCCTCTAATGTTACAAAGAAGGGAGATATAGATGAATATGCGCATCTCATGTGGTCCAGGTGTCTAGGCCTCGCTGGTGTGATGGACTTTGCCCTGATAGGGACTGGTCACTAGGACAACTCCGTCTTCGAGGTTAGGCGGTGGCAGAGCAGCACTCCTGGAAATTCGAATGGGGCATATGAGGAGGTATCAAGGGGGGTATGTACCAGATGGAGAGTATGGTACAGGAGAAGAGGTGGGCCAGGGAGAAAGGATGATTCTCAAGTGGACAAAGAAGGGAGCCTCAGAACAAATTTCGCGCGGAGAAAAATCAGTGGATAATGGAGACATGTCTGGATAACTCAGGGTTTTTGAGACGTTCTCCTGGGTGGGTATGCACGGATGAGGGTTGAATTGTGGTGAGGAAAAAGCTGCCATAGCTTCGCAGTGGTACTTGCAAATAAAATCCGAGGCTTGAGTGCTTTTCTTGTATATTGATTCATCTATTGTGTACATTTTTTTGATATTGTGTCATGGTTACATAGCTATATACGCAACTAAAATCTGATACGGAAAAAAAGAAAAAAAAAGAGCACATGGGGCTGAGTTTATATCAATGTAGAATAGAATAGAATAGAATAGAATTAAAGTCTCTACTGAGTCTATGACTGTGAAGGACTGCTAAAAGTAGACAATAAACCACCAAAATGTATCAATATAGAAGAAATTTACCTGGAGTCTATAGTCGAGATTGTCAATGTTGCTACCAATCGCAGAACCCCAAGAACATGATAATGTCTTTCCATCGATGGTCAAATGGAAGAGGAGGGATCTGGAGACAAGCCAAAGACCGGTCCTACGAAGCTTTGATAAATAATCCTGGCTATATCAAAAGAATAACACAGTGGATCCTAAATCATGGTTGAATAGAGCAATTCTAGATGACAAAGACGGTCGAAATGCTGCTGAGGGAAAGGAACAGGTCAAGCCATTCTTGCTGCCGGTAGAGATGGTGTGGTTGGTTTACATGGATGTTACTATAGTGTAACTGCGCTTCCTGATGGATACATTAGAAAAACATAGATAATATACAGAAAGGTTTGGGGGATTTTCAACAGAAGGTTTCCTCCCATTTAAGTTAGAAAGTATGATAGATACCTGCATGGGCCCATAAGGTGCCAAATCAGGATTATGAAATCAAAATCAAATAATGTATAATTGCACCAGTAGTTGGATAATTAAACTAGCTAGACGTAAATGGAGGCATGCTCATATTGTCACGTGAACACACACTTTTCCTTCCGTATGAACAACTTAGAAGAGGGAGAGAAAATAATGAACATATACAACAAGAAACTCGACTTCTCACTGGCTGTTTTGGTAGCCAGCCTGCCCACTTATCCACTGCTCTCAGCGGAGATCGGAGAAAGTAGTCGTTGCAAAGGTGCATGACACGAAAGGGAGCGGGGCGAGAAGTGTTGTTTCCCTGGGTAGATTTTTATTTACTTGAATTTAGGTTTGATGGATGGAGTTTCGGTATCGGAGTCGGAGTAGGTGGTGCCTTCTGAGTTGTAATTTACCTTCTACTATTTCTTTAGCGGGTCTTGCGGCTGGAATGAGCTGGGCCTGTAAGCAGCGATCTCCGTCGGCTCTACCAGTCTTTTACCTATAGTGGATCTTGTGTTGTGGTTATGAGCTATGCGGAATTCACATTGCGGAGTGATGAGGAGTGGATAATGTTATAATTAGTTGTTGACAGTGAATAGACTCATACAATACGATGCTGTAGGTATATGGACAGAAAGTATAAGACTAAATCTGTGTCCATTTATTGTGGGTACATTTATGAAACTATATACATGCTCGCCTAACCAGTACACTAGTGATGTATGCTGTGGCCTTGAGCCACACGCGATGCACTAGCCTCGACTACCTCGTCTCATATCATAACACCTTGAGCTTTAGCTTAGGACTTTAATATAAAAAAACCCCCGACTTCTATCATAACTTTTGATATCACATTATAAGACATTCCGACACTAATCAGTGTTCGCACAGACAATCAAAGACTGACGAGGATGAAGAAATCTACCAATTCCCGAATACCTTGTTATGTTCAGCTATGTAGTATGGTAGATCTAGTGGCTAGCGCAGAGGTAGTTATTATGGCAGTTTGGTATCATGGAACTTGAAGAAGATCCAGTTTCTACATAACGGCATTACAAATAGTACTATGTGTAGTATTGTATTGATGATTTTTGGTCCTAAGCTATGCTCTATATCTCCCAGGAGTCAAGGACCAGTGTAAACGACCGAAAGCATGCTTTCCACATGCCGAACTCGGTCTCACCGCGTG